AATACCGATTTACGTCTCTCTTTCAATCTGTAACTGAATAACTGATGATCACCTTGATCGATTAGCAATTTTGTATGCCCCTTTGCTGAAAGAGGAAAAAGAAATAAAAGAAGTGGTTGAACAGAGAATAAATCAAAACACCCTCCTCTCTTGAAAAGGCTTCGCTCTGCGTCCATGGAGGGATGGAGCAGTATGGAGGGGGGAACAATGGGAGGCGGGACGGGTGGTTGGTTTGAAGGCAGAGATGTATTACTTCAAAAATCTCTCCACCCCCGTCGGAAGTAAGCGGGACAGGCGGCCGACGGCTTTTCCAGAGGATGGGAAACCTGGAGGCTGGAATTACTGCTCATTTGGAGAAGCCGGAGCTGGGGCATTGCTACAGTTCTAAGCCTGAACCATAAATGCTTTTTTAAATTTATTTTTCTGAACAAATGCTCATACATCTCAGATATTTTAACGGCCTGCATCAGTAAATATATCTGTGTTTTTTTAATTGTATTTTTTAAATAATTTGATAAACTATCCCACTGTCTTATATCTTAATCAGATTATTAAAGTTGTTTGATGGATATGCAAAACGGATCAAACGTGTCAAATGGAGATATTCTCGTTTTATTCTGTATCATTCATGCGTGTTTCTCATAATTTTGACTGAAGTAGCTATTCGATATTTTTGGAAACTTGGAAACGGAGTTCTAAAGTTTGGCTGCTCAACATGAGTTTGTATTGGCTGCTCCCTCGTGGGTCAGTGAGGTTGCAGAGGCTTTCTGAAATGTATGTGTGCATTGGACATTTCTACTAACTTACTGTTATAAATGATGATGTTTTTACACTCCAGCCAGTTGTTGGTTCTGCTAATGTAGTATGAAAACAGCTTGCAGGGACTAAGAGTTATGCAATCCATCACCGCGAGCACTACATTACTTTTATTGTTTTATGGTATCATAGTAATGCAGTTCCAAACAGGGAAATGTAATTACAGTCAAATGTTGTACTTTGAAATGTTTGTTAGACACCCTCAAATCTACAACAACAAAATTACATGTGCTTCATGTTTGTCTCTTGTGTTTGATGTTCTGATTAAATATTGTAACTTAAACATGTCTTGGTAATATCCGAGCTTCTTTAAACACCAATAAATAACATGCTTAAAACAGCTCCTGCCAAACATGAACAAAAACCAAGATGGCCTTGTTACTTTGATGGATTACCAATTTATTGCAAGCATTTTGTCTGCAATTTGATTTTTACTGCATACTGAAATGAACCAAAACAACAATTGTCTGGGCTTTGGGAAATCAATCCAAAAACTTGGGTCCGCCTTTGGAAAAGGCTCAGTTAACTAACGCGGACCAAACAATTTTAGTAAGCAAATTATAGGGAATTGGAATGGCAGATAATGGAGGGGTTAAATGGAGTTGAACAAAAAGCGACGGACAGAAGGTCAAATAAGGTTTGATGATGGGAACCCAGACAGCACCACATCGTCCCACCCTGTGTTTGATGTAATCACAGAAAAGAATAATACCAAAAAGAAAAGGGGCTTGGGTTCAGACTCAACTAAAACGGAAAATGAAGGAGGTCAGACACACCAAACAAGGTAAGCAACAAACTCAGATCATCGGCAATGACAAAGGACAAGATGTACAGAGGCCAACAACTAATGTAGCAGTAGACAAAGTTTTTTTTTCTGTAGCTTTCCATTTCAAGTTGGGTGAAATACATATTCCAACTAACATTTTAGGATATTTGTGGTTTAAGTGTGAAATTTTGTGCTGGAAATGATTCTTGGCAACATTGACAGTTGGTATGATTGGAGTGAAGTTGGGAGAGGACACACGGTGGATTTCTTTGGGCATGAAACTTAACCTGACCTCAGCTGAAGGTCACACTCTGTACTTACTATACCTGAATGTGGTAATAACCCAATTAGGTCAATTATAACAAAATAATAATAATAACTGACCGTCGGTTCACTGACTTTTCCCAAAAGAAAAAGTGTTTCCCTCGGTACATGCATTTGTGCGTGAAGTTGTTCTGCTTTGGGACAATTACTCAGCCTCTGGACTGAATGAGGTCTGTGGATTAGGGGGTTTTGTGTATTTGTTCGGGAGTGGACGGGAAGAGCAAGTGGATGGGAGGGGAGGAGGAGGTGGAGGAGGAGGAGGAGAGGGACGTGGGCAAGTGATTCTCCAGATGAGATCTAATATGTGAGACACTGCATCCTAAAGAGACGTTTTCTCATGGGTCCACACCATGAATACAAATACCCCCTCGCCGCCCGCTCTGCGTTGAAAGGACACATGCACCTTGCTTCAACCGGCAGTGGAGACGTACGGTTTCTCTTTTTTTTACCTTAACATTTACTTCCGTCCAATCACAGAACTCAATGGAGGTGACTTCATGGCAGCTGCTATGAGTCATCCATTCATGCCTTTTTCTTGTAACTGTGTGCTCTTAATCACTGTCATGGCGCCTCGTGTTGGCCGAAACTTAAAATGGTGCCAACAAAAAGCAGCAGGTGAGTTTGTCAATGGGGGAATTACAGAAAAATAATCAGTAGTCTTTTGTGTGCTGACCTTTAGGTTATCTGGAAAAATGTTTTTGTGTGTGTAAAAGTGTGTGTGCATGCTTGTCTCTTTGAGTGGATTTGATTTTAAGCACAATCATATGTGTGTGAGAATGTCCGTGCCTGTTTGTACTCATGCTTGCATGCTTATCTGTGTGAGGGAATGAGCGAGCTTGGATCCATGCGTATATGTGTGTGTGTGTGTGTGTGTGTGTGTGTGTGTGTGCGTGTGTGTGTGTACGTGTGTGAGAGAGAGAGAGAGAGAGAGAGAGAGAGAGAGAGAGAGATGTAGATAAGAGCAGTGCAGTAAATGCATTGGGGCCGGTCTGAGTGACGTTACTATCTGTGAGGATCCTATCTGTGCTAGCAAGTCCATTACAGTTAAACTGAGTTTACCCAGCTGGGACACTTAGTAAAAGTGTAGGGGGAAAAAAGAATTGGGCTTGTGTGTGTGCGTGTGTGTGAGAGAGGGAGGAAAAGGGGAGGAGATACAAAAGGGAGGGACAGAGGGGAGTCCAACAGAGAGAGGCATAGTAAGGCGGTTTAAGAACTAGAGGGAGTTGTTGCCGGTGAAACAGTACAGACAGACACAACTCATTTTCCTCCTCTCGCTTCCATATGCACGGCGCTAACACCAGTGTGTTTTAAACAACCAGTCCAGGCAACAGAGAAAGGGAGTTGCCCACTTGCAGAGGTCAGGCAGGCAGAGGGGGAGCCGGTGAATGTTTTTTAAGAGTTTGCTTATCTGACACTGACAACAGGATGAGAAGCTGAGCGAGCGAGCTGAGAGAGGAGAGAAACATGGAGAGAGCAGCGTTACCCACAGCCTGTTTACTTAGAAGACATAGAAGAGACAGACACTGGTTACCTTGAAAGAGGTATAAAGAAAAGGGACAAGAGGCATTTAGGCCACCTTGTCCAACCTGTCCAGAGGAGCGAGAGCCGAGGGATCGTAACACTGGAGCTCAAGGATAAACCATGGACTCTGCATACATCCCACCACACCTGGACGTGAGTACAACATCCATTTCACAGACGCACACCCGCACAAACACACATCTGTCAAGCCACAGGCCACAGGACCCGTGCTGCTGAAACCATTAGTCACTCTGGGGAACAACACATACACACACACATGCATATATATTTATACACACAGTGTCGCTCAATCAAAATCTTGTCTGGTGAGCAACTTGTCCAAGGATAATGTGCCCCATTATGAGTTCAAAGAGCATAATTTCACTCACCACGGCTGCAACATACAAAGTATGAATTGGCCCACAGTGTTGGTGCTTTAATGTGAAAAGCAGAGGTGTGTTTTTGTTCTGTATTTCACTGGGACGTAACTGTCAGACCCGGAGTGGAGCCTCTGAGCTTTCAGCAGTCACCGGTTGGACATGTCAGTGTTTCCATTGACGCTTATGCAGTGCATGTTGCGCCTCAGCTGGGCCTCCTGCTAACCACAATGCACCTGTGACACGGAGACCTCCGGGCATTCCCAGGTCTGAGACAAAAAAAGCAGAGATACTGAGGACATATAAAAGAGGAGAAATGTTGTGAATACATGGCGACCGGTTGATGCTCGGTTCAAGCTCACTCATGCCAGACTGATGCAAAGTCTCTGCAGGTGGTTCCCGGTCAGTCGGTCACGATGAAGAAGCAGAGGTCCACTCCTGAATGTCCACTTAACCAAACGTGTGTGTGTTTTGTGTGTCTAATTCTATTTCCAACCGTACTCACATATTTAGAACCCGGCCTCACCATAGTTCTACATCTTGGCATGAGTTTCTGCTTACGCGTTAGTGCTCACTCTGGCTGGCAGTTGGCATGTGTCAAACCCCGTATACACCGCCGTTAACATGTGTGTGTCTGCATGTGTGCGTTTGACGTCTGTGTCAGCGGCCAGCTAATTGGTCCAGCTGGAATGAATTAAAGAGCATTCAATAAAGTCCAATAAAACTACACGGCAGCCTATACCTGGAATATTGTTCTAATGATTTCATCTGTTTCGAGAGCAGAATCACAATTGCACAACTGTTTTGGACATTTCTCACCCTGCCCCCGGTATGTATTAACTCCCCTGCTCAAAGTTAAACATGTGGAGCATTGTGCAGTCGTAACCCTCAGTAAGTAAGTGAATTATGACGTGCATGCTCAGTTTATATATATGTATATACATATATAAACTGAACATGCGTACATATATATATATATGTATATATACGTGTATATGTATGTATGTGGCACAGTTCCAAGTGGAAAATAAGCAGCACGTGGTCTCATGAGGCTGTCAAACATGACACAGTGTGCCGGGAGAGAGAAGATTAATCCTGCGGCACAAACGCTGCACTTATTATGTTCTAAAAGAATGAGACGACAGTAGAGAAAAATGAGAGCTACAAGAGAAGGGGGGGGTCAGGGAGAATGAGAGGAGGAATTTGGGAAAAGAAACACGGGAAGAACAACAGGAAGGGAAAGTTGAGGGACCAAGCGTAACATGAAGACAGCGGCGGTGGATAAATCAGCCGGCTGCGGTGACACTCCGGCCCCGTGGCCCGGCAACAGTCCGTCGCACTCTTCCGCAAAAACACCATTCACTTAAGACTGAGGGGAACATTGATAGGAGAGGAAGAAAAGGGGAGAGGGAGAAGAGGAGAAATTGAATGGGAAGGTGCTGCAGAGATTAAAGAATATATTTTTAAATATATATATTTTTAACAAGTAAGAACAAGAGAAATATGACAGAGAGGGAAATTGATGGACAATCAATCAAAACAGAGGAAGAGGGAAGCAGAAAATAGAAAAACAGTTAAATTGAGTATGACAGCATAAAGCACAAAGCCAAAGGACAAAGTTCAAGGAATGCAAAAAGGAAGAAGGAAGGGGCAAGGGAGCAGGGTTTGAAATGAACAGATAAAAAGAGAGGCAGTGAGTCAGAAACATGCCAAAGGCAGGTGAGAGAAACGGACATCAGAGGCCAGAGGTTTTAATCAGAGAGTTCAGAAATCTGGCAACGATTCTCATCTGCTGTGCACCAGGGTGAGGCCACCGTCTGCTCGGGAGGTCGGGTCTAATATTCCTGAGCTGCATGCATGCACACGCAAGGGGGACGATGCTCAAACACCGCCGCTGAGGCCCTAACCTTTCATCTCCCCTTATCAGGGACCCATTAGTCATACAGCTTGCCTCCTGTACCCCAAAGAACATTCGATTAGTGCACGTTCCTGCCAGAGAGAAGCAGAATGAGATGTTTTTTTTAAGGCTGGGGACGACATCAAGATGTACACATCATACAAATAGGCTAAATTAGGTCATCGCATTCAATCAGAGCGCATGTATGTGTGTGTCGCGGACGTCGTTTCTCTGCCTAGCGCAGGTCATGACACACCCTGTTGTGCGACGACTGAACCTTTGAACCTCAGAGTCACCCGGGATGGTTTTGTACTTTGTGAGGAGAGTGCAGGAGAGAGACGATGTTGTTGTCCTTAATCTGCTTTACAAGCCTTCTGAGAATATGGGAGAGGCGCTCCAGCATGGTGTCTAATCTGTAATTGTCCTCTGCTTCGTTGCCTCAGGTGAAAGAGCCCTGGGTGGGGCCGTGAGAGTTTAATGGGTAGCCAGCAACAATCCCACGCTTGGAGGTGGCTTACTTTCCCAGGCCTGCCCTTTGAACCCCGTACCGCCTGAGCAACATGCAATGCATAAAAATGTACACACCTTCACACCTCTGAACTCCTTTCAACCCCTTTTCATGGCAGTGTGGTAAGATTAGCGGCCATTACAGTGTCATTATCTGTTCGCTTGGCCATAAACGGCTCTGTTATCTCGCTGTTGAGGGCTTAATCAATTCTATGTCCCTAAGAGACACGAGGTACGGTGATAGAGACGAAAGATATGTGAAAGCTCGGACAAGGAAAGAAATAACGACAGGCTTAGAGTTCTTCTTCGAGTAAGTGACAGACTGGTGTGCTTTTATTTGAAAAAGGATCATTCGTAGTTGTTCAGTCGGCGATGGCGTCACTTCTCTTCTACTTCTATTATGTCGCAATAATGTTCATTTGTAGTCGAGATTGTCTTTTCTGTGACTCCTTTGCTCAACCCGACCTCTTCAGGTCAAGACGGCCATTAACTTGCTGGTTTCTAATTACTGGCTCAGTTATTATTAACACCTGCAGTGCAGATGTGCAGGGTGTTAGCCAGGTCGTTGCGGTAATTACATGATCCCGCGTCTGTGGTCCTGTTCCCGCACTGTCAAAGGGGGAGAGATAAGCTGATCACTTGAGTTGAATCAGCTAAAAGAGGCTTTACTCTCTCAACACAGTCAAGTTTAATTTAAAAGAGCGCTCTCGCACGCTCTGTGGTGTTTTGGTTAGAACTTTGCATCAGTCATCAAGAATAGCAAGCGATCGATGCAGAACGTGGGAGGACGGGGAGTTTCATAACACAACGCTGCCGTTTGGGAAAGCTCAAATGTTTAAACAAAATGGTCTTTCACGCACCAAACTACAACTGAATGATACATATTTTGTGAGGGTTTGGTTAAACTTTGTTTGCATGCTGTCAACATATGTATGATTTAAGGTTTGGTGTAGAGAAAAGGGCAGAATTTGAAAAATCAGCCATCCTCCTGCATCTCTTCCATTTCTGTTTTAGGCCCCTGCCACCAGACAAGCATGCAGTTGATACAATTCCCGTTGCATTAGGTCTTTCTTTTAAAACTTCCTGATCACGTTATACAGTAACCTATACTTATAAGTACTTATGGTTCATTTCAAACCTCCTCTTTCATCAATAACCAACTCCAAGGCATTGCAGGCCTTGTAGCAGCAATTGACCATGAGAAGTGCTGTCTGGTTTTCTACAAAAACATCTGGGCCTGTAAGGAACTTTGGTGGTGTACGTGATTCGAGGCTCTAGCTATCTACACCATCGACAGAGATGGAGAGAGGATAGCTTCTGGTCATCCGAGCTGTCATGAATGTACAGCTCACTGCTCGGATAAAAGGCAAAATTACTAGTCTCTCCTTTCTATACGTTCCTTTCCCTTTGTTGGATCGATCTGCTATGCAGGCAGTTATTGCCAATGGAGGAAGGGCAACTTTGAATCAAGTTCCCACCGAAAACACGTGCATGCATCTGTATTTGAAGAATAGTCAGTGGGAGCCCCCCCCTCCGTCGATGTGATTGGCCAAAGACTCCAAAATGTTTTAAAGCTCCAAAAACCGAGCCAAGGGGGGTGCCGAAGTCAAGTTTTATCTCAGGCTACTTGAATTAGAATATGCTCAAAAGTTCATATGGATTTTTTCCCCCAGTTAGACCAAAACAAACTGCATACCCCAGCTTTAAATGGAAGGATTTCAATCTTCTTCACTCGCGCAGACATCATTATAGAATGCTTGAATGAATATATCTGTCATTGTGACTGGCCTCCACGACTCCATTACTCCTGCACTGGGATCTCTTTCACACACAGCAAGAATGAATTACACAGGCTGTTTAATTACTCATCCTTAGGTGTTCAAGGAAATATATGGCCCACAGGGGCATGAGGCTCACCATAAATTAATAGAGAAAAAAAGTGTCACTGTTTCTACAGCCAGGAGTATGAAGCAAACAACTTCCTATGGATATGTGGACAGTAAGTCCTTGAACATATGCCACATGAAGGTTCAAGATGAAAAAGTAGTGTGTCCAGGAAGGGGAAGACATACGCATGATATACGGAGACCTGGAGGATCTCAGAGGACCTCTTTTGCAAGGACCTGAATTCAAAAATGATGAAAAACACTGCATAAGCAGCCTACATAAGTTTTCCTACTGATGGTAAGATTGTGTCTCTTTTGACTTTTATTAACCACCTCTTCTCTTGTATTCTCCATTGCGCCTCACCATCCTGCCCCCCTTTCCAGATCCACCATGTTCCCTGCTAACCTCCTGCTCCTCATGGTCCTGCTCCTACCTCAAGCCTCGTCTGGTCGCCAGGGTGGAGTCACCAGCAAGACCGACCATGGCCGGGTGTCCTCCATGCCTTCCTCCTTGTCGCCCCCACCAGCTGGTTCCCTCCTCCTGGAGCCCAGTCTGGCACAGACCATCCAGAACCTCCTCTTGAGCCGCCTGGGCCTACAGTCGCAGCCCGACCCTCGGCCTGGAGTGCCGGTGCCTGGGTACCTCCTTAATCTTTACCACTTCCACCAGCAGCAGTACCATCTAGTGGAGGATCCCTCGTTTAGCTTCCCGAGCCAGCACATTGAGCAGGCCAACACTGTACGCAGCTTTCACCACAATGGTAAGCTCACCGCTACATCATGATGCTGTGGACCTATTTAACTGCAATCGTAAACATTGTTTTATGGCCCGTAAAGCTTTTGTTTCGAGGAAGCTAATCTTTCTTAATTAATCATAAATGAGAAAAAAAACGTCTTATTCATGACAGATGGTGGTTGTGACTCACCATCCTCATGCATCTGTGCACACTTGGATAAGATAGGTTGTTTACAATCCTGAGGTCTCCTTTAAAAATATGAGAGAGAGAGAGTAAACTCTGTGTTTGTTCTGGACTTTGCCCACAGTTTTGATCGTTGCTGGGTTAACCTATAAGGGAGTTCAGGAGCAAATATTTGCTGACCTATTGCTCTGCCACTTAAGCCAAATTTTTGTTGAATAATTTGTTGAAACACACCTTTATTAGGCATGTTCACATGGTGATAATAAACTAACTAGATTTTGACATACTGTCCCTGCAGCAGAGTTGCAATCACAATCAGTGCAGGTTGGCGTAGGGAAGGTTGACTGACTACATAAGGGCCTCAAATAAAAGTTCTTGAAAAGAAAATGCTATTCTGTTGTTAGTTCCCATAAACTAAATTACAAAATAAAGCTTCTACTGATTTGATTGCAAAAGTTTTGGTAAAAGTAATTGGTAAAAGTTTGAACTTACAGTGTCAATGTGAGGCATCCAACCTAGTAATGTAACAAATTTGCTGCTATTGATTAATAATCTGTGAAATTCTATCTAACTAATGTAACCAGTGCTGTTTTGGTCTTGTTGAGAGTAAATAATGTCTTTAAACCACACGGAACCCACATGCATCCTTTCCTCTCATCCTGTCTCTTAGAGCCCCTCGGAGGCAATCCTGTAGCAGTGGATCGTAAGAGGGTGCACATCTCCTTCAATGTATCCTCCATCCCTCAGGATGAGAGGGTGCTCTCCGCTGAGCTTCGGCTTCTCCGCAGTGACAGAGCTTCACTAGGTCCTGGGGTCCACAGACTTAACTTATACCTCACTAAGCACCATGAGGACCCTGAGCCCACCCTGCTGGAGACAAGGTTACTCACCACTGGCCTCCACGGTCATAAAGAAGGCGGCTTCTGGGAGGCTTTTAGCTTAAATGCAGAGTTCCTCCATGAGGCCCTTAGTGGGACTGGCAGTCTGGGCTTCCTCCTAGAGGTCGGAATTGAGAACAGCACCACATTGATCCCTGAACAAAACCTCTACCCTGCCGCAGCTGAGGAGGAGACAGAGAAACACAAACAGGGACACCTGAGGGTATGCAGGTCTGTGGGTCAGGACGAGCATAGCTGGGCCCAGGAGAGACCCCTCTTGGTGACGTACAGCCATGACGGCCGTGGAGAGCCCTTGGTCAAACATGGCAGGAGGAACCCCAACGGAGGCCAGAGGGTGAGAGGGAGAAAAGGGACCAAAGACAGGACCAGGGGCAGCAGCAATAGCCGCAGTAGAGACCCGGCTTCGGGCAGGGCCAAAAAAACAGGGTATACAGTGCAGGGCAGGGGGAGTGTTAAAAGAGGAGTCAGCTGGAGCGATGCCGGAAGGGTGAAAAGAAACGGCGGTCGTGCTGCAAAACTGAAGCGCCTTTCTCGTAACAGATGTCGCCGCCATCCTCTCTATGTAGACTTCAACGATGTGGGGTGGCACAAGTGGATCATTGCACCAAGCGGCTACGACGCCTTCTTCTGCTTGGGCGAGTGTCGCTTTCCTCTGGCCGACCACATGAACTCCTCCAGCCACGCCATGGTGCAAACTCTGGTGAACTCGGTGAATGGAGCTGTGCCGCGGGCCTGCTGCGTCCCCACCTCCCTCAGTCCCATCGCCCTGCTCTACCTAGACCCTCAAGACCGAGTGGTGCTGAAGAACTACCAGGACATGGTGGTGGAAGGCTGCGGCTGCCGGTAGTGAACTGAAGAAGTCAGCCAGAGAAAGCCGGACGTGGATGGAGGAACATCGAGGGAATCGGTGAGAGACGGAAGCAGTGAAAAGGCAGATGGTGGGAAGAAGAAACGCCAGCTAGACAAGGAGATTAATAGGGACAAATTGAACAGCGTAAGATGGGTGAGGGGAGAGGAGGGAGTCAAGGGAATGGATATAGCAGCTAAACATGAATTACGAGGAGCAAGAAAGATAGTTAGAGATGAAAAGAGAAAGAAAAAAAGATGGCATGATATAATCAGTCAAACAACAGAGTAAATGGTCAGACAATAAGGCAGAGGAAGCTGAAATACGGTCAACACAGATGTACTGCCAGGAACGACTTTTCACGATTTACCATTTTGCGATGATACAGCTGTTTGCACCATCAACCCACGGCCTCCTTGTCCCTCACAAGAAGCCAGCGCTTTAATATCAGATGGTGTCTATTCCATCTCCCAGTGTTTGCCACTCATCTCATACAACCGTCTGACAGGCAGGTGCACATGTGTTTAGCGGTGGACACATAATTTAAGCTCTAGAGCAGAATCACATAACTTCCTCATGGACTTCCTGATGATCTGACGATCAACAGCATTAGCAATATGATGGTGCCACTAGTACGGCATCTAAACTTTGTGTGTAAGTGATGTTTCTGCAGTATTTGAACCAGGAAGTAGGGAGCATCTGTAATACAAAAGTTAATGTAATGACAAACTGTTCCTTTACAGGCGCCCCTACATCACAAGCTATTTAAAACAACAATAATGCTGGGGAACTATCATGCTATTGTTTGAATGTACTTCTATCGCGATTATTTAAAAAAAGAAATCATGTACATTTATTTTGCAGCCATGAAGAAAATCCAAGTGATGCCCTATTATTTTACATAGTTCCACTGAATGGCGATTCTAACTTAAAAGACACATTATGTATTTAAGTAGCAGCAATACTGGTGTATTAAATGGTGTATTTAATCATGAAAATATTTAAGATACCTGCACTCAGCAGAGCATACAGCAAACTAAATAAGAAAGCCTGCCGTCCACATTGGGTAATCTATGGTAGCTTTACGTCCGTACAAATGTTCAGTGTATTGAATCAACAGTCTGTGTCACTTAAACGTCCCACCTTATAATTTCACACATTTAGGTGTCCCACACGTGATAGCAGACATAAGTGGTGTTGCCTTTAAAAGTTCAACTAACAAGTAAATTGAAAGCGCTGTGTATAAGTGTGTAACAACAGACCTCTTTGCTAGTTGTGGCTGCATTTGTCAAGAAAAAAAGCAGGACCATCAATTAAACTGGGACTTTAGTGCCTTTTATTTATGGGCTTTAAAAGTGTTCTCTGCTGAGCTTAGTAAATGTTTTTTCCGTGTTGCATTTTTCTCTCTAATGTTAAGCAACAGCTTGTAAAGTGTTTGACAATATACCTCTAATAAACAAAGCAAACCGCACAACTGTTACATGAATTTTCTTTTGCATCAGCACATTTGATTCTTTTGAAAGTTTTGGGGAGTTTTTCTCAGTGCAACGCTTTTCTTGTTTAGCCCACCATGAAATAATTACCATATTCAGGAAGGAAAAAGGAGGCCAAGTCTCACAAAGAGATTTAAACAGATTTGTACATATGATACTGTAGCATGAAATTCTCACATCCCAGCAGCTGTGACAAGCAGGTACAGTAACTCGGATGCTTCAGACTCCTGATCCTCTTCTTCTTCTTACTTTTGCCATGTTATTACTGCCCAGAAAAGATATTGTTCCTCGCCCGGGATGCACTGCAATAAATTAAAGAACACATATAAGATATCAAATATGGTTTATTCTAACCATGTGATGTTATCATTCATCTTCTATGATTTATACGATGATGATGTGGCAGCAGATGAAGACATCCTCTTAAAGGCTCATCATCTTGCAGGTGGTGGTAACACCAGGACTGTAGTGTTTTGTTCGTCACTTTTTACCACGTGCTTTGGGGACCGAGGCCTGCATTCCATTTTAACAATTGTCAGGAGTACACTTGTGTGTTTGTGTGTGCATGTGAGAGGGTGAGTGTGTGTCAAGGCAGAGAAAGGATGAGGATGCGTTACCCGATACCATGTTCACAGATGGTGTGTGCCTCTGCTCTTCTAGATAACTCACAGTGCCAGTATATTTCATCTCATGGGCTGTAACACATCACGGTTCACTTAATGGTTGCCTGATAACCTCTGGCCTTTTCCTCCATGACCCCCAACTCATTCTACCTTCCCGACTCATCTGTCTCTCTCACCCTTCAGCTTCTCCTTTGCAAATCACAGGTTCTTCAACCGCGTTTTTATCTCAGCCTATTTGTCATTCGTCTGCCCATCTTGACACACTTTTTGCCTCCAAACCTTTTTCCTCTTTAAATCTGACCTATCGACTCATTCTTCTCACAGCTGCTAGATCAGAAACAGGTGTTTCTGTCTATTTGTCCCTCGTGATGAACAGATCTCAGTGAGTCTAGATAAGTCCTGACCTGTTAGTTCAATGTCCTTGTTATATGATTGCTAAATAAATAAAGGATATGGAAAATGCCCCTTTACAACATGTTACATTACTGTATGTAGCATTTAGGGAAATCCATTGGCAGGAATTGAATATAAATAATTAGCTGGAAATAGGAATAGGAAATATTTCAGGCTAAACTGTAAAAAATGAATATTTTCTATTTGATGGCATGGTGAAGCCTTAAAAACAAATCGGATTTTAATATTTACTCCCAATAAACAACTTCAATCAAGAGCCGGAACAATTTCATAAAGAATACATATTTGTGAAACTTTCTACATAATTAAAGCTGCTCTACAGTGTGAAATTATTATATTAATATTAATATATATATATATATATACTTACAGAGGCAGGCTTGTGTGTCCCTGGTGTCCCCTGAGGACACAGCCTGCTCCACAGAAACTTCCACCTCCCTGTTCGAGTGCTGGCTCAACGGTTCAGCCCACCCAATGACAATATATGACATTGAATGATACCCGCCTAAAGAATGTCTTGGATAGTTTATTTTTATATTTCAGAATGATTAATAAACTATAAATTGGACAATAGTGAGAACAGAAGTACACAGGCACTGTTTTTCTGAAAACAACAGCTATTTGGGGAGAGAATGCGGGTTTGATGCAGAGCAGCAAACTGTTTGCTCACAAGTTTGTTAAACAGTGATGATAAATAAAAGCCAAGATGACAGTGATATATCAGCAGCAGAAATACTGATGCATCACTTATACTGCCGGGTTCACAGAACCTTAATGACTGCAAAATGTTCCTTTTTGGACTTCAGAAGCGGTTTTAAATCATGCTAACCCCTTAAGTACACTAAATTGCAGTTTGATACATATTGTGTGTCACACAATAAAATGGTAGTGTCCCAAATCACTGCAGCAGATGTGGATGTATCTTCCAGTTGCATGCTACTGCTGCAGCTGCTGAGTTGGTGCTTTCAGTCTAGAAAACCAATAGCGATGGTTTTGGCCTCTGAGCTTTGAAGGAAAGACTCACGCTGAAACCAAATGAGCGAAGCTGGACCGCTGGGTCGCGGAGTGAAGCAGGTGCAGCACGTTGAAACGCCGGGGACTCCGTCTGGAAGCCGTCCTGTCACGAGGCAGAACCATGACCCCTGCACTCTGTCTCTCCATGTGCACATCTCTTTTTTTCTCCTACTTATATTTGATTGTGTGCTGGATGTGACCGCGCAGAGGTTGTGTAAGTAGCGGCTGTTGTCCTAAATTAATTCTTCAATTGTGTCTCCTAGAATTTTCCAGATCCTATGCATACCAAGAGGTACCAGAATAAACATTGAATCAAATGTCACTCTTTCTCCTCTTCTGCCGTCTGTCTACCGCTTCATTTATGTTTTTATTTATTTAGTCATTTTGCACGGACAATGCACACCAATCAACAGTTGTCGGCCTACTTCAGGTGAGCGGGAGTTTGCAGAGAGGCTCTTTTCCATCTGCTGTCCACGGCCAGATGTTTTAAGGCAGCATAGAATAACAAAATTTCAAATCGGAGTGTAATTAAAATTCATAGACAAACTGATAAAAACAAACACTATATTTGCAACCTGAGAGGCTTCAAGCAATTAACTTGATTAGTACCATGTTGCTTTTGCCAAATTAATTGATAGCCAAAACTATAAAGTTAAAACTAAACTTATAAATTGTAATTAACTTGACTTAAAATGATTTATTGAACCCCGATAATCCCCCTTTACTTGCCACCATGGCAATCTGTGTCCTCGTTGTCCTCCTCCGCTCAAATCAAAAGGCCCAGACCAGCAGGGTAAAAGCAGTGTAGACAGATCCATCCCCGATGGTCAGCTGCTGATGAGCCAACCTGCATGAAGCAAACAGAGAGGAAGCTACTCAATTACTGAAACACGGCCTATGGAGAAAGAAATATAAGGTGGAATCTAGTGATGAGAGAATAGAGAGAAGGCCGGCACAAAAGAGTTGCTGCTGTTGGTCTGTTTACAATGAGGATTTTGCTTCTCCAGATGTTTAGCAGCACACGGAGGAAAGGGGAGAGAGAGGAGGGTGTGGGGACGGAGGAGAGAGAGCAACAGAAGGACGTGAGTGAGGTTGGGTGACTGTTGGCGGTTTGGACTCATCGTGGAGTATTTATGACTTGCACATTCAAAGTGCTGCGAGGTCGGTTACCAGCAGTCATGGTAAGAATGCCCTGTCACGGGATAACAGAGGAAACAAACACCAGGCCCAACGATGAGTGACCACATTCTCCTAAAGCACCCTGAGAAGTAAAAAACACAAAGCGAAAGGTCAATACAAAAAGTCAAAATCACACGATATGATATGTTTACCCACAAATCAATAACTCATGTGATCATGCAGAAAGAAACATATTTCTTCCACATGTTCCTCTAATCTCTAGCTATATTTCCAGATATTGGGACTTTGTTTCTTGTATGGCCACAATGAAGTACAAGATGTGGGTTTGCTGGTAAATTTTGCAAAGTGAGCTAAACACCTGGGCAAGCACATCAGCTGAGAGTAAGGGGAGCTGTCAGTGTATCGTGATGTAGACGCTGTCTGACGCAGAGTCCATATCGGTCAATAGAGGGAGGAAGGCAATAAAATCATGTGAGGGAGCGACAAGAGATGAAAATGACTTAAAACTCAAAATGGGGCCTTAAATGTATTCATTTTAATAGCATGAGAGGCCAAGGTAATCCCCCTTCTTCCTGCATCAAAGCCATATAATACAGCTTGAGCTTAAATAACAGGCCAAATCTTGTAAGAGCTTTAAAAAAAAGGTCATTGAGCTCCATCCCCATGGGGGATTTTTCTAAAAAAAGAAAATACCCCCCCTGTTCATCTTGTCGCATAGGTATCTTTGTACAAGGCTGTTTTCACTATACCTTTTTTCCAATGCAGACTCCTTTATTGAAATTGCACATGTATCTAAGTCTAAAAACAGGGCTCATAACAGGCGCAAGAATAACTACAGGGCCCATCACCGAGCAGCAGCGGTACACGGTGCTCCTGAGAAGCATTAACACAGTCGCAGTCTTTCCAAGCGTTCTCCAAAAAAGTAACAGGAGGAAAAGAAAAAAAAAATTAAGACGAGGAGAGGGGAAAGAGAGAGAGAGAGAAGGCCTGGCATAAAGATTAGATTAGCACTTTAAAACATCTGTGAACCCGTCCGGCTACGCTTCCCCACAGATTTGGGCCTGATCTCACATTTTCTTTCCTCCACTTTGCCTCCCCTGCTTTCCACCTCTACTTCCTCTTTCCTCCACCCTCACCCCCCTTTTGTGGTTTAATCTGTTCTGCGTCGTACTTATAAGGCTATGGATTTGTGTAGTTATGTATATTTTTTATTGTCATTAGCAAATATTGACTGTGTTACCGGATTTGTTCATGCGACTGTGCAGGTGGAATCTACCAGCTTCTATAAAAAGAATAACTCTGACCAGAGAGACAACAGCCATTGGACACAGGTGCATTTTTTTATTTGGCCCTCAGCCCAAACACATGTGCATGCTTAGCACACACACACACACACACACACACACACACACACACACACACACACACACACACACACACACACACAGACATACACAACCGCAGCATCAACACACCCTACTTCCCAGGGTTTGTTTATTTAAAGCACAACAATGTGTGTTATAAACACCCTCTTCTAGACCGTCCATCGTGGCACGTTGAGGTAAGGGACAACATGCTCATATCGCTGTTGTGCATCCATCAGGGGAAGAAAGCACTGTCCTGGTTCAGAGGAAAAGCGTTTCCTCCGTTCCTTTCCCCTTTAGCTATGCATTTCTTTCCAGCAGCGTTGAGCTGTAACTCCAAAGGGAGGAAGGGTGGGAACAGTATTAGACAAAGCGATGGAAAGACTGATATATGCTGTCTAATCTCCTCTGGTGGGCTGGTAA